GGAAGCTGCAAGGACAAAGGGGAATGCATTTGACCATGCACTGGGGATTAAACTGCTGCAGAAGGTATTTAAGAAGCTCTGCTCCTCCCCTGCCCTAGGGCTGCCTTCTCTTTGCTCACCGTTGTGTTGGAGAGCAATGAGGAACTGGGAGCACGGGCTGCTCTGCCTGGAAGTCTGAGAGCTCAGAGAGCAAGAAAGCGTGTGGGCTTTGGACCTCACTGCTCCGGGAAGAGAGAGAGAACAGAGAAAGCCTTCACAAGAGCATGGGGTCTTTGGGGGGTGGGTGGGCAGACAGGGATGATCCCACACTTAGGCAGGAGAGGAGAACCAGTGCCTCAGACTTCCATCAACAGTGCAAACGATTTTCTGATGTGTGAGTGAGCATGAATACAACAAGCCAGATGCCCAATGCAAATGCATTTGCATTAGAAACCTCTTGCCAAGAATCCCTACTTCCATGGTAAATCAAAGCTAGAAAGAAGCAAGAAGTCTCGCTGCCCTGCTTTCTACTTACAAGCATAAGGCATTTTCCTGGAATACCTGACCTTGAATCTCCCATGGCTTTTTGTCCATAAGCCCAAAAGCAGGCAGGCAGTGAAGAAGCCCCAGAGTAAAGAAGACGATGAGAAAGCAGGAGCCACATCTCCATCCACATGCAGTGGCTTGACTGCAACACAGAGTAAAATTGCATGGTTCAGGGCTGCTACATTCTCCAAAGCAACACTATGGTGCAGCAACACCAGCATCCTGATGATTAACAAGATGGCACGTCTAACAAGATCTATATTTATTTCTCAAAAGGATGCAAAAGACACAGGTGATAAGTAGGAAGCTGTGGTTTCACTAAAGACTGGTGGTCATCTACTAACCAGTGAGTACATGAAAGCACGTGCAATCTGGACTATTACAAACCTTATCTGATGAGCTGTCAGTGCTGGTAGGGTTGTATGTTGGAAAAGACAACCATTTCCCCTCTTTGCAAAGCCCACTTCCTCACTATGGCGAATTTTGCAAGTTTTGCAACACTTTTTCTACCTGCAAAGCATCCTTGAGATGCCACGTGGCCTAAGTAAATGTAAATGTTTGCATGGGAGTTTCCTTGTCATGAATAAAAATTATTAAAAAGTAAAAATAGAAAAAGAGAGGAACTCTCAGTGCTCAAAGAGACAGTAGGTCAACATTTAAAATCCCAACAGGAGATTCTGCTCTGACTTGCTGACTGTGTTTCCAAGTTGTTTCAAAGGAAGAAGTCTGGAGATTGAAGGGAAAAAAAAAAGTGCATTTTTTTTTTTCCTCCTGAAAACTAAAAGGGGCATTCAACTTCAGTGACCCATATATTAAACAATAAGTAAAAACACTATGAAATTTGTTTGTGCTATTTTTGCATAGCTCTTGGTACAAAGGATTCCCAGCAGCGATTTGATGTCACAGCAGTAGGGAATTCATAGTCTAACCTGCTCTGTGCATTATAAAAAAAAAAACAACCTCCTTGCTAAAGCAGGTTTCCTAAAACAGGTCACACATGAAAGCATCCAGGAAGGTTTTGAATATCTCCAGTGAAGGAGACTCCACCACCTCTCTGGGAAGCCTGTTCCAGGGCTCTGAGAGTAAATAAGTTCTTCCTCGTGTTCATGTGGAAGTTCCTGTGTTCTAGTTTGCACCCGCTGCCCTTTGTTCTAACACTGGATGCTGCTGAAAAGTGCCTGGCCTCATCCTCCTGGCCCACGTCCTTTGGATGTTTATAAGCATTGATCAGATCACCCCACACAGCCTCCTCCAGGATGAGCAGCTCAGGGCTCTCAGCCTTTCCCCATCAGGAGATGCTCCAGGTCCCCACCATTTCCACAGCCCTCTTCTGGGCTCTCTCAAGTAGCTCCCTGTCTGCTTGGAACTGGGGAACCCAGAACTGGACCCAGTGCTCCAGATATGCCTCCCCAAGACAGACCTGAAGGGAAGAATAACCTTCCTCACCCTGCTGACCATGCTTATTGCAATGCACCCCAGGGTTCCATTGGCCTTTTTGGCTACAGAGGCACACTACTGGCCCATAGACAGCCTGTTGACCCAGTCCTCCTCTGCAGAGCTCCCTTCCAGCAGCTCAGCTCCCAACCTGTACTGATGCATGTGGTTATTCCTTCCTAGGTGTAGTACAGAATGAGATATAATGACTTTAAGTTGTGCCAGAGGAAGTTCAGGCTGGATGTTAGGAAAAACCTCCTCTCAGAAGGAGCAGCCAGGCTGTCCAGTAAAGCAGTGGAGTCACTGTCCCTAGACCAAGGAACAAGAACCATGGGGATGACACTGAGAGATACGGACAGTGGGGATGGTGGGGTTGGGCTGACATTTAGACTACAGGTCTTTTCCAGCCTTAATGTTTCCATAACTCCACACTTGTCCTTGTTGAGCCTCATGATGTTCTTTGCCCAAATCTTAGCCTGCCAAGATCAAGCAAGTATTACCCTCATATCATCGTTCCTCCTTTCACAAGGAGGATATCTGGTAAGATTTTATCCAACATCACATTTTTTAAATGAATTACACAAAAATTCAGCATCTCCCTGACCTTTATCCTTTGGCCAGTTTCAGCTGAATTAAAACACCAGAAACAAGACTTTAGAAGTCCAGTGGAGGAAGGGTAAAGCAGTGAAAGGTAGAAAGGTTAAGAACTACAACGACAACAACAAACATGGAAATCAGCTCAGTGAACCATTGTTTGGGATCTCAGAGCCCCAGATGGGATTTTCATAGGATCAGGGAGGACCAAGCCGTGCAACTTCTGACAGGTGCATGATTTTCTGCCTCAGTGCTGCCACCATCTGTTATTGACGAGGCCAACCATGCAGCATCCTGCCTCCCCTTTCAACCATGCCCTATTCTTCCATCAATTTTTAAAGAACAGATTTTTCCATCAGCTCGTGGGTGGGAACACAGCAGTGAGCATTCACTGTAAAAGTGTGCAAATGCAGCAGAGAACCAAACTGCTGCTCTTCCTCCACTGTGATGGGCACACCACCATCTTTCCACTCTCCTCCAGTCTTCACAATTTAATCAATAATGCCTTAAAGCTCGCCTACCTATTTGAGCTTATCAAATATTAATTGTCTATTTAGCTATTTCTCCTGAAATTGTGCTCAATTCAAATAGAAATTCAAATACAGTACAGTAGCAGAAGTGACCACAGCTTCTCAGATCTCATTGCTTGTTTTCTTACCAAAACCCCCCCGACTTCTCCCAGCAAAGAATACTATAGCAAGTTAATTTGGGTATAGGAGAATACATTTAACTCAAAATACTCAAAATTTAACTCAGTTGACTCAAAAAATTTTGGAATTTTTATTATTCCAAAATAAAGTATGATGGGACTGATACAAGGCCTTGAGTGGCTGCATCATCTGGAGTATTGCACCTTCCAACCCAAGCCATTCTGTGATTCTGTGATCATATTTCAAAAGCAAACAACATCACGACTTTTGATTTCTTTCTTTTGAGTTCTTGGCAGTTTTATGCTTCCTACAGCAAAGGAAACTGGAGAGTTATTTTTAAACAGTTTTGTGTTTCCTGGTGGCTTTCTGGTAACTGCACTTCAAAGTACCTTTGATAATCCATCTCCTAAAACTATGGGGAAAAAAAAGTATTCCTAGTTTAGCACTCAATTGTTCCTCTGAAACAAGAAAATTACAGCTGGAAAGTTCATAAAACTCATAGAGTCAATAAGGATAGAAAAGACCTCTAAGATCATCAAGGCAAACAGTCAACACCATTCCCACCATGCCCACTCATAGAATCATAAAGGCTGGAAAAGACCTCCACCAAGAACATGAAGTCCATCCATTGACCCATCACCACCATACTAAACCATGTATCTCTATGTGAAGATGCTCAGTGCATTCATCTGGACTCGGTCTGTTAAGATTTCTTTAGCAGAGCATTTAAACCTGTTTCATCCAATCACTCTCCTTCTCCTCCTCCTCTTCACTCTGTGGCCAAAGGCAGAAGGACAGTGCAGCTGAGAGTCCTACACTCCCTCAAATCTGTGCTTTCCTTTTCCATCTCATCCAGAAAAAATTCCCTAAGCCCTTTAGCTTTAGCTCCTATTGCCAACCATGCGTAGAATGATGGAATGGTTTGGGTTGGAAGAGACCTTTAAAATCATCCAGTTCCAACCTGCTGTAGGCAGAGACAGCTCCCTCTAGACCATGTTGCTCACAGCCCCATCCAGCCTGGCCTTGAATGCTTCCAGGGAGGGAGCATCCACAGCCTCAGTAGGCAACATGTTCAGTGTCTCACCGTCCTCACAGTAAATAATTTCTTCCTAATTTCTAATTTATAATTCCTAATTTCTAGCCTAAATTTCTTCCTAGTCTATGCAGATGCTCTTCCCAGCTGCCATTCACTCCCTCCAGACTTAAAGATCAGATGAAGCTGCAAAGTGCAGCAACACATCCCTCCAAGGTCCTCCAGGGATGAAAAAAAAAATGCTTTTAAAATCCAGAGACATCAAATGCTCATCTCTAGTAACACTGGACTCTGCTTGCATAGGATTGCTATGATGCTGGTGATGCATCAGCTTGGCTTACAGCCCTATTTCATTAGGGGAAGAGACTTCTCTCAGGGAAGAAAACAAGAGCAGGAGAGCTGGAATCAGTCAGGCAGCTGTAAAGAAGGAAAGAAAGCCACAGTTTCAATGAGTGGACTGCTTTCCTTGCGAGGAGCAGCAGGAGCTCCAAGTGCTACTTCATTCCCTGCATCCATCTCTACAAAGCCCAGCTGGAGAAGCAGCAGAGCACTCTGTAAGCGACACCAATCTAATTAATTAATGACTTTCAGCGTCAGCTCTGTGGCTGCTGGGCTAGCAGGAAGGCAGTAACGAAGGGCTGGGACAGCACGCAACGCATCTGGTAAATGCTGCATGCTGCTGACAGCCAGCTCGGTTATTCATCACCTCTCCTGCTTTGGAGCTACAGCACAGAACAAGTCAGAGATTATTCCGGGCAGAGAAGATGGTGTGGGATCCACCCTTGCAGCATCCTCTCTTCTGGATGAAGTCTTCCTCCCTCTTCTTGTCATGCTCCAGAGCTGCCGTGGCACAGTTAATTGAGGTAAGGAGCAACCTGCTTTGTGGATTAGGGGTGGCCAGGAATCCTGTTTTTTTCCATGCAAGGGTGAAAATCGGGGAATTTAAGGTGGCTCTGAGGAGATAGAGGCTCCTTCAGGCAGTGCTTGTTGCTTTCCTCAGGCCCAGCACTCTAAAGGAACTGCTTTCAAAGCGCCAGCAGCTGGTGATCATAGAATCATGGAATCAGTAAGGATGGAAAAGACCACAATGGGCATCTAATCCAACCCCCAAACCATCCCACTATGCCGACCGTGTCCCTCAGTGCCCCATCTTCACAGTTCTTAACACAGCTCCAGAGACAGTAACTTCACCGCTTCCCTGGGCAGGGCATGATGAGTGATCACAGGTGGCACTCAGTGCTCTTTTAATCCCCAAAGGTGGATTTGAGACAGCATGAAAACTCACAGTACAGCTCTTCCAGCCCCATGCTGCCTTTCCAACAAATTCTGTCAGTTCTGTTCAACAAGTGCCCCACATCAGGCACTCAAGGAAAAAGGACCAGGTCTGACCCAGGTGATTCCGTCCATGAAGGCACCTGTCCAGGTTAAGCGGTTGTGCCACAAGTTTGTCCCTGTACCTTCCCTCATTTCCTCTAGTTCAACCAAAATGTTAGCACTGGAGGTGATTCTTCTCACCCACAGCTCATTCAGCCATCCAGAAAGTCTAGGAATAAACAAGAGGGAAGAACAGATTCCACTCTGACAGCATCTATAACCTAATTGCTGGTACTTTCAGAAGCAAGAGAGCCCCCAAAATTATAGCTGCCAAAAATTTTGGAGATGTTTTCAACTTCTTGATTGCTTTTCCTAACTAAAAGGCTGAGCCATGTTAGAGGAAGGTCTGAGGTCAGAGCCCCAGCGCTCTGGTGCATTATCAGCATGTTCTTACAGCAGAGCTCACTTTGCTCACATTCCTGATTTTGGTTATGCTGTTCAAATGGCCATGCTGATGCAGCCATGTCTGCATGAAGAGCTCTAACAGGCTAGAAGAAGAAAATATAGTTTCATCATGTTAGATCTTAGCATCCTTACCTGTTTTGCCTCTCACCCAGCCTCACATCAAGCTGGATCCAATCTCTGCAGCCTTCAGCCTGCACATTTTAACACTTTACCACCAATGCATGAGAAGCAAAAAAAAGCTGTGTTGAGTTCATATCCCCGCCCCATCTTCTGCCTCATCTCTGTCTCAATTTAAAGTTACTTAATATGGTATTTTCAAACGGCTCTACCAAACTCATCCTATCTGACCATGGTATAACACCCCCAGCAAGCCAAACCAGAGCCTGAAAGCTCGTTTGGAAAATGCACACAAACTGCTATGGGCATTTTCCCAATCTGTTCACCTACAGCAGCTCTCAAGGTGACAAGCCAAGCAGAACTTTCTCTTGTGGTGCACATTTGACAGAGTATGCTTCACTGAAGCTGAGTCACTGTGCAGACACAGATTCCATCCCACCAAAAAGATTTTATTTTTTTTTAAACCTTTCTTGCCATTTCCAGCACCCAGACAACCACCTGAATAAGCAGCCTGATGCTTTCTGTTTGAAGATACATATTTCACAGACACACACTTTCCAGGATTTGTCTTCATGCCAAAGCAGAGCAAGGATAAATGTCAAAATTAGGCAGACGGTTATAAAACAGGTCTGACTTTCTGATCTGTTTTACTTATACCAGACTCTTGGAAACATGTTCATTATATCATGCTGGGGAGAGCAAATCTCATCTGGAAACGCAAGCTGCTCAGCAGGTTAATTACCAGATAGCCAAAAATGGGATTAGATGAACAGCCAGATTCTGTATTTCATAGAATCATAGAACCATTTGAGTTAAAAGGGACCCTTAAAGGCCACCTAGTCCAATTCTTGCAGCAAACAGGGACATTTACAGCTCAATCAGACTTAAGGCAGATGAATTATATCTCTAAAGCTCTGCAAGGATTTTTTTTTAATTATTATTATTATTTTTTTTTACTTTAAATAATTACACAATGTAGCTATTGTGAATAATTCAATTTGTGCTAAGCCAGCTTGCTGGAGCAAACAGAGAGAAGGTCAAAGACAGCAGAGCATATCAGTGAGCCCAAAAGAAAAGCAAGCAAACCCACAGTAAGGTGGAGTGAAGAAACAAGATGCTCTTGGTTAGTGATGTCCAAGTGTTTCTAAATGTGCATAACTGTGTGCATATTCCACTGAGAGAGAGGAAGCAATGAGAGCCTCTCATTATCCAATCTAATTGCACTGACAAAGAGCTTTTCTCTGTCATTGATATTTTAATTTATGTATAGCCAAGACAAAAGTTAAGATTTGCAAACTGCTTTTGGACCAGGTACATTTGAAATTAGCTCAGTGGGTTGTCCTGGACCTGCCCTTTCGGTGCCCTAGGAGCATCCCTATAAGGTGCCTTGCTGAGACCAATGCTTCAGCTGGAGCTGGGGGCTCTTCTCCAAGAACATCTTGTCCAACTTCAGCTGTAGCTGTACAGATCAGTGAAGACAAACACCCATGTGGCTTTATCTAGATGACTCTCATACCCCACATGTAAAACGCATTCACAAGCTCAGAAGTTATCAGGTGCTAGATAAGTCTCTGGGTTTGTCTGGAGCTTCTCAAAGAAAAGGGAAAACTGTCTCTAGGAAGTCATGTAAAAGAGTCTCCAGAAGCTTCATCAAACTAGAATCATGGTATCACAGAATCATATAACCGTTAAGGTTGGCAAAGACCACTAAGATCATGTCAACCCCACCTACGGCAGTGGGGTTGGAACTAGATGATCTTTAACGTCCCCTCCAACCTAAACCATTCTATGATCATCCAGTCCAACCCCAAACCAACCCCCACCGTGCCCACTGATCACATCCTTCAGTGCCACATCTCCACGCTTCTTGAACACCTCCAGATGACCCCACCACCTCCTTGGACAGCCTGTGCCAGTGCATTACCACTCTTTCTCAGAAGAAATTTGTTGCTCATTCTTTCTATTAATATAGTAAGAATAATAATGTTGTTTCTGGTCTTCCTACGTTCTAGCTTGGACTCCATGCAAAAGATGTAGCACAGATTCAATAGTAGGGCAAAGATATTTATTCATAGCTTCAGTTTATATTGTACATAGCCCTGTATTGTTGGACTCGAGGGACAGTATCCCTCATTTGTAGCCTACAAGTGATGTGATGGATGGGACTGTATGCAATACCTAAAAAATGCTCAGAGGTGTGATTATAGTTGAAATAAAGATAGGTAAAATTACAGAGTGGACTCCTGAGGTTGATTTCCCATGTGAATGCATAGCTTTAATTCAAAAGCTTACCACAGAAGAACAAGTAAGAAAAATAATAGCACAGGAAGGCATGCACAGGAAGCACAGATGATGATTTAAGAGCATTAGCTTTAAGAAATGCATCTTTCAAGAAGATACAAGTATTTCAGGCCAGCTGGAATAAAAATACTATAGAAAATTACAAAGTTTTTTTCCAGAAAATTCTTTGTCATAGCCACCTTAGAGAGGTTCTGAGAGAGGGATTGAGGCCTCATAGGGTGCAAAGTTACTGAGCCTTCCCAGGTCTCAAAACATGTACTTCAGGAAAAAACAGACGTGCTCTCAAACCAGCCTACTTACTTGCAGGGGTAGGGCACATATGAATCAATGCATGGTCTCTGCTAACAGTAATCCTAAAGGCTATAGCGATGCTAAAGAGATTGTCCTGTGATTGCTGCCATTCTCGGATGGAAAGAAGCATCTGGGTTCAAACTTAAATTCACAGGATTGTGAATTGGTCCAGGTATGGAGAAAAAAAAAAAAAAAAGAAAAAGAAAAAAGGGTTCCAGAAAGGAATGAGGGAGGCTGGAGGGCTGAGAGCACAACAGAGGTCCTTCAGCCAGCGCAAGAGCTGCAAGCAAGCCTCACGAACAGGGCAGCAGCAAACCTCCACTGTGATCTAATGGCAAACACCAGATTTATCAGCTATCACTGTCAAATCATCACAGTCAATCTTTTTTATCCCCCAGTCTACACCAGCATATTAAGCAAATAGAGCTCCCGTCTCCAGCAGCTATCTCCTTCCCACAGGGGCTGATACCTTTGCTGGCTCCTTACCCTGCCCCAGCTCCAATCACCACTGACAGTTTCTCTGCTTGAAATGAATCAGAAACGAAGCAAACTGGAAAATTTTCCTGTTAGAAGAATCAGTGTCAAACTGTTCTGACCTAAATGTGCAACATGCCTGGAAATTATTTAGTGCTCTGGGGGTTCGTGGATGTTTTACAGCCCCAAGAGCCCAATGTCAGCTCAGCTCCTGCTTCTCATGGAGTTGGTTTCTGCCTCCCTCCCTGCCTTTGCTGGGCACTTGAAGGAGCTGTAAAAGCAATGCTTGCACACAATGCAGAGGTCCTCTCTTCTAAGACACAAAGAGATCATAGAATGTCTTATGTTGGAAGGGACCTCAAGGATCATCAAGCTCTGACCCCCTCTACCACATGCAGGGCCACCAACCTCCCCATTTAATACCAGCCCAGGCTGCCCAGGGCCCCATCCAACCTGGCCTTGAACACCTCGAGGGATGGAAGGGGCATCCACAGCCTCTCTGGGCAGCTGTTCCAGCACCTCATTGCTCTCACAGTAAAGAATTTCCCCCTGATATCCAACCTACATCTTCCCTTCTTCAACTTCAAACCATTTCCCGTTGCTATTATCTACCCTTTCAAAGAGTTGGATCACGTGTCACCTTCCTGGCCTCCATGAAACTTGGGGCCATGGTATCCAGCAGGATTTGGAATGGATCATAATCTATGATTCTATGATCTTGTGCCTTCAGAGGTTGGGGACCTCTGAAAAAAAGAACTGGAAGTCAAGGGTGGCATTTAACTGATCCAAATTGGGCATCTTGGAATTCGGCACTCAAATTTCAGCTAGTGTCTATAAACTCTGTCAGTAAAAAGAAATGTTCATTTATTCATCAGATCTAGGTAAGTTGCCTCACTGAGGTGAATAAGTCTGTGTAACTGCTGCTTTCTCTTAGCCATAAAGCAACTCAAGAAGAATCAGCTTAAACTTAATTATTTGTACTGCACATAAGTAAAGGCAGAGGCATTTACTTCAGAGAGAGACCTAGACTGAAGGTTAAGACAGAAATATACATAGCTAATGACATCTACTGGGAGACCTCATTGCAGCCTTCCAGTACTTCGAGGAAAGCTTACAAGCAGGAGAGGGGGCAACTTTTTACATGGGCAGATAGCAACAGGACAAGGGTGAATGGCTTTAAATCAAAAGAGAAGAAATTTAAGTTAAAAGTTAGGAAGAAATTCTTTACTCAGAAGATGGTGAGGTTGCTGGCACCACTGCCCAGAGAGGTTGTGGGTTCCCCATCCCTGGAGGTGCTCAAGGGCAGGTTGGTTGGGGCCCTGAGCAGCACAACCTGGTAGTGGCAACCTGCCTATGGCAGGAGGTTGGAACTGGGTGATCTTTAAGGTCCTTTCCAACACAAGCTGTTCTATGATTCTGTCAACAAGTGACTTGAATGCCTCAGTTTCCATGGGAGATGTAGTCAATGCAGTCCAGTTATTCTACAGTCCTGCCAGGAAGGCCCAAAGCAGCAGTCTATCTTTGGGGTTAATATTCATAATTGGTGCTGGGTAGGAGTTGATTTCACCTTTCTCAGTACGGCAGTCTAATCTTATTTTAGGCTTTGTGCTGTACGCTGCCTGCTTTTCATCTGTGCTCTCTAGAGCAGCAGATCTTCCATAAAGATTACATAGGATATTTACTAAGGTTTTCATCACCTTCTTTACATTTAAGATTATGCTACTTCAGTAATCCATAAGATACTTTTTGCTATAACACAATTATGCACTCTTTCAGCACAGAGCTTACAGGGAGCTTTATAACCTTTCATTTACTCCTTCCTGCTCAATTCTTTTTCCTCCTGCATTCCCAACGTTTTCCATATTCCTGGAGACGGTGCCCAGCTACCTATGTGGCAGGAACACTGCAGTGAGGCTAACCTCCAACATTTACACAATCAACCTCCAACATTTACATAATCTTTTTAATATATATTTGCTCATCTGCTTGCCCACCAAACCCATCCTTATTCCATTATTACTTGGGTATTGCTAATGCTGCTTTTCCCTGCATCTTCTATGTTCCTAACACCCTCCTGCAGCTAATGACACAGCTTAATATCTCTTGCAGAAATTTTCTCAGCTGACTCCAGTCTTCTGGAGTCTGTAATGCATGGTACAGATAAAGCAAAGCTGTTTTTCATCATTCTGACTACAATGTCTTCATCCACCTGTACATCTTACACCTCTGGAACACACTTGTGACCAAGGGCACAAGTTCACTCTTTACAGAGCTCCAAGTACCATTTCTGTGAGCTTTTGGTTGGTTGGCTTTCCCCTTTGGAGCTTTGCCTTGCTCCACAATTTCATCTCTCCTTTGTTTCAACTCCTTACATCTTTTCCTTTTGCCTCCGATCTAATCACTCTTTTATCTTGGCATTTATTGCCAAGCACATACCAGTAACTCCAAATCTTAACACTTCTTGTCAAGCACAAGTCAACATCTCCACTTTCCTACAGCTACTAAAAATTACTTTCCTCAAGATGTTTTTTTAACTCCTGCTTACTGCTTTGCAATCTCCAAAAGCTAAGAGGTTTAAGAATGGGCCAGCACTGCATCTTTCCATCCACTTACGAGTTTGGAAAGCTTTTTCAGTCAAGAGGTGTAGCAATGCAGACTCAGCCCTCTGTCACTGAGTCCCATTGCATGCGCATAGCTACAAATGAGCAGTGATTTATTAAGCTGCAGTAGCTTGATCACTGTGCTTCAGTAATTTAATTGCATATTTCAGCCCTCAATGCACATTCTAAAGACACAATAAAGAATGCCATTAAACATCTGCATGAATGGTCAGGACTCAGCAGTAGTCTTGCTTTATGCTCTTTCCCCTTGAACTTTTGTCTAAAAGATTCAACATACTTTGCTACTTTATGTGTTGGTTTACACCAAGAACTTTTGTGAAACCAAGGAAAGTAGCAGAGATTTTCGACTTTGCTTTCTCTTCTTCCCTGCAAAGCAAGTTCAGTCTTGTTTAAAGACACACTTTTCCATTTCCAGAAATATCACCACAATAGGCCATAAATTGGTGGTAAATGCTTCAGCCACAAATCTTCCTGCTACGGATGGTAATACCATGCATCTTTGCGTACTTAGATCTCTATCTCACCTACTCTCTGTTTACTCATCCAGCAGTTTGTTCTTCCTGCATTACTGCAACTGAAGAGCCTTTAATTATCAAAATACTGCCTACTCTATGCTCCACCTCTGATGTTTTCTGCATACATGGTGCAGCAGTTAAAGGAGGATGTTCCCACGTGCCAAGTCTCCCTGGTCTCAAACACCTTCAGGGATGGTGGCTCCACCACCTCCCTTGGCAGCTTGTGCCAGTGCATTACCATTCTTTGAGAATACATTTTTCCTAATATCAACCCTGAACCTCCCTTGGAACAACTTCAGCCCACAGTTTCCTTTGCTCAACAGCTTTTCACTCTACATCTGCCTCCCTTTCTCAGCTGCCCATCAGAAACAACTCTGGCAGACCCATCCTTTGGAGAGCTATGATTCCTGAGAGGGCGAAGTCACACTGAGTGCTTCACATAAAACAAACGTCTTTGATTCAGGTTAAGGCTACCCAAAGAGTATCCTAAAGGGTTTGGAAAAACTCTGAAGAATTCCTATAGTTGAAAATAGATGTCTTTCAGCAATGACTGTCACAGATTCTTACCTCTTGTTTCAGATATCCCTACAAGACTACATCATTCTGGTCAGATATTCTTTCTCCCTTCATTTAGCTGCAGCAATTCTAGGTTTTGAGCATTAAATGCTCCACGTCTAGCCTCAGCACTAGGGTAAGGCCATGCAGTGCTGAGTAACTAAGGCACCTTGGAAAAAAAAAAAAAAAAAAAAAAAAAGAAAAAAAGGCTCATGCAGCAGTCCTACCACTACAAATGAGCTCTGAATAGGATCCCCTGGGAGCCAAAGCACTCCAGACTCAACGGGAAGCATCCTTCATTAGGAATAATCTAAATTATGATTTGTATTGCACAAATAGGCGAGTAATTGGAGAGCAGCTCCAGCTCTCTAATATCCATTACAGCTGTGTTTTAACAATGCTTTCATGGCCTGAGAAGGGAAGGCACTGCAGGGAGCAAGACATGCATTTTTTCAAGCCTGGCCTTGAATGCCTCCAGGAATGGGGCATCCATAACCTTTCTGGGCAACCTGTTCTAGTGCATCATCACCTTCTGAGTGAAAAATTTCCTCCTAATATCTAACCTAAATCTCTTTGTCTTAGTTTAAAACCATTCCCCCTTTTCCTATCACTATCAACCCATGTAAACAGTCTTTCCCCTTCCTGTTTATATGCTCCTTTCAAATACTGGAAGACTTCAAAGAGGTCTCCCCAGAGCCTTCTCTTTTTCAAAGAGAACACTTCATAATTCTCTAGACATTCAGAGCACAGACACCAACTCACACTGAGGTATAAGCTTGCGGAAACTCCATGGTAGGGCAACTGGAGATAAAATAAATTCAGGTCCTTTCTTGCAGCCCTGTTGCCCCTTGGACAAATAATATGCCCCACAGCTGCTACAGCAGGTAGATCTGTTCCTGCAGTCAGTGGGAGTTTCATGAGCAGAGAAAAAGTGACTGGCACGAGGTCAAGAAGGGAATGCCCATAAAGAAGGATACAGACTCAATAGCTTCCAGTGCCAGAACTCCAGCTTGAGACAAGCAGATTCCACTTCTGCAAGCAGCTCTTACCAGAGTATTGCACAATGGGAAGAAAATTAAAAGAAACAACCAAACTCAAAGGTCAGCATTGAGCTTTATAACATCTGTCCTGTCTGTTCTGGCAATAGTTCTGCAGTGTTTCTCCAGGGCTCAGGAGCAAGATGCTCTCCAGGCTTTGAGAGCATCTCACACCTAGAGGTCTCTGGTTGCTGGGGCCAAGTGAGAAAGAGTGCAAGGGCTGAGCTACAACCCATGGGAGCTACTTTAGCCTTTAAGTACTTGGCCCTTGCCTGTGCCTGGCCATGGATTTGCTCCATCTCTACAGGTTTATCTGGTTGTTTTAATTCTCTACTCAACCCAGCTGCCACCCCAAACCTGTCCCACAGCCTTTGTTCAGAGGTGGTGGGATGGGGGTTTCGTTGAAAAGCCTGCCTTGGTGTTTGTGTTGCACTCTCTATCTTGGTGGGAACAGCCAGCTCCTTTTATGCCTTGACATTTAGCTCTTTTGCTGTTTCCTTTTTCACCTAGATGACCTTCATTTAGATATAAGAAAAAATCTTTTATAGTGAGGGTGGTGTGGCACTGGAACTGGTTGCCCAGAGATGTGGTTGATGCCCCATCCTTGGAGACTATCCAGGTGAGACTGGATAAGGCCCTGGGAAACCTGATCTAGCTGTAGTATCCCTGTTCACTGTAGGGCAGTTGGACTAAATGGCCTTCAGAAGTCCTTTAAGGTCCTTTTAACTTTAAGGATTCTATGATTCCATGATCTAGCCATAGCAGAGATGGCACTGCAATGCAATCCACAGAAAAATGTCTTGGCAATTAAGCCTTTAAAACAAAACAAAAAAAATCCTCCTAAACCCAGGAGAAAAAAAGGTTTAGAAAAAGGTGAAATCCAGCAAAGAAAACCTTTTTGCCATTATTTCTAATCATTAAAATTGGCAACACTTCAGACATACTTCAAAACAGCAAATGCTTTAGATAACAATCTCTAGCAAAGTTCCCATTCCCTGAAAACTTCCAAACTGTTACAAGGCCAGAAGACCAGGGCTCACTCCAGTGGTTCCTGCTCTCTTCCCCATTCTAGCTGCTCTACAGTGATCCTTGCAAATCCTAAACCACGTTTCTTTTTTTCTTCTTCCCCATCTTTCTTTCTCAGGCCACCACAGAACCCCCAAAAAAGAAACCGGATCCTGTCACTTCGGAGACGGTGGTGATCTGGGGGCTGCGCCTCTGGCAGGTGATTGGTATCTTTGCCATCTTTGTCCTGGCAGTCAGTAAGTTGTAATTCTCTGCCTTGCACCAACCACAGCTCTACCTCCAATAGGATCTGTGCCTGACCAAATCCAAGGACTACAGACCCAGTGACCAAAGAAGCCTCCGGCTGAGGCTCTTTGGTGCCTTCAGTGGCATCACTGGGTTTTATTATTGAGTTGAAAAGAGGGGCAGATGGAGTCTTTGAAGGAATCACAGATTGGCCACAATAGCTTCATACTATAATGCACTGATCCCAGCTGGTGACATCCCAGAGCAGAATGGGATTGCTCCATAGGTGGGACTGTGTCAACTGCAGTACCACATTCAGCCTCAGATGTATCTCACAGCCATAGACTTCCCTGTCACATTACTTGGCAAAAGTCCTGCCCTATAACACAACCCATACAGGCCACATATAGAATCAGAGAACACCCCAAGTTGGAAGAGACCCATAAGGATCACGAGTCCAACTCCTGGAGGTCTGTGGGCACAAACAGATCTGTCATTAGGGTACCTGGCTGTTATTCTCGGTGCCAAGACTCCTCACTTGATTTTAGCAAGGCTTTTGAGACTCAAAAAAGTCCTTTGGGGATCCAGTCATCAAGATGCCACTGGCTCACATCCAGTCACTGTAATGGGATCAAGAACTCTTCTAGCACACTTCGAGGATCTGTTTGGCTACAGCAGATTCTACACTCAAATGTCTTCATCCAGCTTCATTCTCTCACAATTCACCTTCTGGGAACATTACTTAAGCTAGCTTCCCTGTGCACTGCAAACTACCATCATAAGCTTGCTTAAGAGAATATCCCTTTGGACAAGGCTATAACCATCAAAGTTCAAAGGTAGGATCTTCTGCTCTCTTAGAGCTAAGAAAACCACACAAAAATGGATCAATTGAATGTAAGTCACACTTGATAGACCCATTTCTGTTTCCCATCTTCCTGTTACTCTCTAGGCACTTGTGAAGCATTTAACTAATTCTTTTAGCCAGGGAAGGACATGGCCCTGGGCAACCTGCTCTAAGTAGCCCTGCTTGAACAAGGATTTGGACTAGATGTCCTCCAGAGATCCCTTCCAAGCTCAACCATCCCGTGAAATGAAGTTACACTGCCTCATCTGTAATTCCCTTGGATCTGCTTTAGGTCTGGATGAGCAGATCTTCAGAACCTGTCCCTCATCCCTGCAGGTAAATCCCATCAGCTCAGATATTGCCTCAAGTCCTTACCCATTCTAGAGGTGACATCACCTCCACAGCCTCCAGGGCTTAGGCACACCTAGATCTTCTGTTGTTGTCACAGCCTCCTCTTTGGCTGCTGTAGGCAGTCTGTTGCAGTCCTTTCACAACAGCCTCCCTATTATGTTCCCATAGGGCTTAAACCAGGGACAATTTTAAAGCAACTAAAAGCATTTTCCTCTCTTTTGTTTTCCCTATTAAGGCAAGCACCACACCCTGCACCCAGAGTCTACAGGATAAGTATTCCTACAGGCTACCTGTTTTCAATCAATGGTGCTTATCCTAATTCATCACATGCCACAACACCCTTGGCAAACAAGCTCAAAAACCTCTACAGAGGAAACTAAACATAGCCAAGTATTTAATCCTGGTGACTCCATGCACCAGGTGAAAAACACATCCAAATTAACAGCAGGAAACTAAGAACACAAGCATACTTGTGGAAGGGTTTATTTTAGGTTGTTTTCTTTGGTTTAGGCACATCCCATTGTAAGGAAATTTACACTCTTAGGTTTGATTACTTTGTTGTTTGTTAGAAAATTGGCTTATATATACCAGGTTGCTTAGGGTTACATGAAATGCCACACAAGTCAAATGGTGCACCACTTACAGTAAAAAAGAAAAGCAACTAAGTTTTCACTCATTACTCAAAACCCTCTGTAGGAAGAAGCAAACATCCATTATGTCAGACTGCTACAGACGCACATTACTAGAGAAGTGGGAAAGTATTTCCAAGGAAATTGCATGGTTTAGGCTTGCTGAGTCTCATAGCAATGAAAAGATTAAGTACATGACAACACAGAAGGGATACAGTTCGTGGTACCACACCTCTAGCTCCAGCTTTTTGTTTGAGAAATCCATTTCTCCCAGTGAGCAGAGCAGATTGAATGCAGCTGTGCCAGCTTAAGCTATGCATTCTGCCAACTTTATGAGGACAGCAATCATTAGGTGAAGAAAACAACTATCAATGTCTGTCATCCAAATCAAAACAGGGCAGGTTCAAATTTAACCACACTAAATTAACTGAATCCCACAGTCAATTCTCACCCATTTCTTGCATCTTGCTCCAGCAACATGTCCCTCTTCCTTTGCTTCATGATCCCCAAAGCAGTGGTGATTCCCCAGCTTTACTGGTAAAGCTTCAGCTCTCAAGAGCAGGCACAGCTTTTTGTATGAGTGAGCTTGAGTTCTTCCTCAGTATCACACTGTAGAACTAGAGAATAAACCTCTTTTCCAATGGAAGGAGAGCTGAAGAGGTTTCCCTGGTCCCAGAAGCACCTTCCCAGGCAGAGCAGGAGAGCACAGTGATCCCATAGCACTAAGAACAATATAGAATCCATCCCAGGGCTTTTCAGGGCCTGGGCATGATCCCATTGGCTTACAATCTCACCTCATTATCAATGCTTTAGGGCATTAAGGGCGTGCCTACTTTATCATTTGAGATGTGTGTGAAGTTAATGTTTGTACCAACCTTGATCTGAGTGGTTGTGGAGCACTCAGACTGGATTCATTTTGGTTAAAGTGGGAAAAGAACACTCCAGAAAGATAAAATCCCTGACAAATACCACACTAATGGTACCCACATCCTTAGAACCAGAGCAGATCTTCTCCACAGCAGGACCCCTAAAGCCCACCAGGTGAGTATGGCAGTACTCCATGTTCTCCCACCCCACAAGCCTCCTCCTGCTGAGTAACAGGGCTTACACATGATCCAGCTGCTACTTCCAACTCTTGCTCTTAGCAACTTCCACAAGATGGCACCAGCACACAGGAAAAGGCAGAAAAATGGTCAACCTCAAAACCTTTCACATTTCCTTATGTAATGAAAGGAAAAGGCACTTTCTTATATACTTATCACACACCACTGAAAAGAGCAAGCTCACTGAGATCTTCTAAGTCATAGTACGATTTTCGAGAGTGTTGTAAACCGTTAATTCTATTGCTTAAGAGCAGAAGAGCCAAAGTATTTGCATACCTGTTAGCAAGAGGCTTTCCTACCTCCCCTGATAGCCAGCTTGCTCAGATGCTGCAAGAAACCACCTTCCAGCTCGTCCTCTCAGCCCAGTCCCTCTCCATCTTTTTCCTTTTCTTCTGTCCTGTGGTCACGAGAGAAAAGTGTGAATTTGTAGCAGAGGCAGAACAACATCCAGGTGACGCTGCAGGTATAACTCTCAAGGATAGAATCACTGAATCATTAAGGTTGGGAAAAATCACTAAGATCATCCAACCATCAGCCTCTCACCAGCATGCCCACTAAAATGATGGATGCGTTGTTCAATCATTGCATAATTCTTATTCGTTCACTAAAATATCAAGAATGCTTCTTGGTTTTGTTTTGTTTTGGTTTGGTTTTTTTGCTGCAACGGGTGAAGGCACACGAAAGCTTATTTTTTAAGTAAGCAAACACTACAGAAAAACCTGGAAGGAAGAAAAACTCACTGCTGTTCTCTGCCCTCAAGATTTATGTGCAACCAGCCCTTGGTTAAAGGAAAGCTTCTTCTTTGGATGTTTTAATCAGGAAGAGCAAGACCATTATGTTCAGAAGTCTCCTGAGGGTGTGCCCTGACATCCTTATCAGGGCTGCCTCATCACACCCAGCACAACTGAGTGCTGGTTGATAAGAATGGAGACTACCGTCAAACCAGGGCATCTAGCAAAGACAGCAGTGGCACCTGGTCTGCTTCTCAAAGGGGTTTTGATAAGACAACAGTGCACAACCGAGTTGGGATTCACTGCCAGGAGGACTTGATTTACTCAGGAGTATTGTCATCTAGCTGCTGTGTCGCAAAATTTCCTTGTGAAAGGTATAAATAGGGAACTGAGGCCCAATGCTATCTCTCTGATACAATGGGATTGAGTCAGAATCTCTTGCATAGTCTGTTTCATCCACGAAGATCAATGGCTGAGCACCACCAGGATTATCTTTTGCCAAACAGGATGCTGTGATGGAGTAGATGGCCCTTATCTATCCCTAGGAGAGCCATCAGCCTGCCCAGTGTGTTCACCACTGGCTCACCCTTTCCTTCTATAGGGCACAGTAAAAACCATAAACCACAAGCCTGTAGACTGTTTATTTTACTTTGGTGTTAAGCCCCCAGATCAGCTGATCACCATGTTTATGTATGTTATTTATGTACCAGTCCCAGGTATGTTGGCACCAGCCCTTCAGAGAGGACATGGGTTGCTCCTACAGAGTCCATCTTCATCTGTACCACAGTATTTGAGGTACCACAGGCAGGGAGAGGATCTTTTATCATTCTTTTTGACTCTTTACTAAAGGTGAAGGTGGGATGGCCTGAGGGACTTTGCCAGGAGATTTCCATATGGGGTGGGACAGCAGCAGAGCTGTCAGTTCAACCCATTGCCACATTTGAGATTTGTGAAATCGTGGTCTTGAGCCTTGCACTCAGCTGCAGCATTCTAGATTCATGCCTTGTGCTCAGCTCAAGGCCATGCTGGTTTTGAATTGCACTTTTTTATCATGCCAAGGAGCTGCTGAGCTAAGCTGGCACTGCACATTAGACCACTTTGTGCCCAAGAGTAGGAAGATCTTAAATAATTTATATTATTCAGTGCTGCTGGTTCAGTAGCACCAGAACAGCTCTGGTGCCATGGAAACAGGTTTAATCACTACATATAAAATGGTTCAAGTTGGAAGGAAGCTCAACAATCAGCCTGCCATGTCGTAAGAACATCCCAATTAAAATCCACAGCAGGTCTACTGTTACTAGGAAATAAGTCTTACCTGGACTCGGAATGACAAAACAGTGGGCTAAACCAGAA